TCCCTCAATGAGAACAGGAGGAATCAAGCTGGTGTTCTTGGTTTCAGTCTCCTCTGCAAAGTGTTCTTATCACAGAGTTATGTTGTAGTCTCCTCAGGGAAGTGGATTCTTCTCTGTAATGGCATGGGAATTGTTAGAATTCTGCTGGTGCTGCTTTGTCCTGTGGCTCAGCTCCTTGTTTACTCATTTCTTGCTTCTCTTCCCCAAGTGTTCCTCCAGCAAGCTTTCAGAAGAGACCCTTCAGACCCCATGAACCACTTCATCTTTCTGCCACATAGTGGAAGAAAGTGTGTTCAGATATTAGAACATACTCAGATGAGGTTCGGAAAAAGTCTAGGAAGTATCTTTTGCTTGAAATTGGGCCAAATACTGCTGGTAGTTATGAAGTATCCCTATTATTTTAAAATATTAGACTGCTGCTTATTTGGAAAGGAATGCCAAGTCCTTTGAAGACTTCCACATAGGAAGAAGATGCTGGGGAAGAACAGCATTTCTAGGCCAGTGGCCTTCTGAGTTGATGAGCTCACTGCTTAGTGATGGCATCTGTAGAAAGGGAGATGTATCTGTACCTTCAATGAAATTGGTTTTGTCCCTTTGCAATTCTATCTGACCTGTGGTCATTTCTTGGCCACTTGTTCTGCAGGAGGTGTTAGAAAAACCAAATTGAAGACATCTTGCGAAGTTCCCGTGTCTGGGCTGCTCACTGTGTTTTGAGTATTTAAGAATAAAAAGGCTTGTGCATACAGCAAGCATGACTTTAGTTGAACACCAAGAAAGTCTGTGTCATGTCCTCATGGCTGGAATATTGAGCAGCCTGCTCTAGGCGATCCTGCTTTGAGCAGTGGGTTGGACTAGGTGACCTCCAGAAGTCTCTTCCAGCATCATCTATTCTGATTCTGTAACCTGATTTAATGAAGAACTGCCTCTATATGTCTGGGTTTTTTCTTTGGGGTTATCCTTGAATTCAGGCATGCAATCTAGAAGATTTTTTCATTAGTGTCTTATACTGCTACTCTAAAGGAGTGGGC